CATCTGTGGACCCTGGGCCAGTCCTCTTTGTCCTAGCCTGGCTCACTGTCATTCTTTCCACTGGCTCACTTGTCCCTTCTGTTGGTGTCCACATGGATGGTCTTCCCAATATTCTGGCTTCTCAGTTTCTTATTCTTCTCTTCTCTGGTGTCTTGTCCTCCATCCTATGTCAGCCTCTCATTCTTAGAGTCATACTTTTGAAATTATCAGTGACTGCAGTCTCTCCACAGTCTCAATTTGAAGCATCCCTAACTCTGACCACCACCTTGAACCAAGGTGGTGGTGGTGGTCTCTCTCCAGCTCACTGCTTCTAGTTATCTCCACTCCAACAATCTTTTGATTTGCTTTGTTCCTAAAAATCTGTGGATTTCACCACCTTGTTTCTGTCTCTCAATCCCTGAGGACCTTTCTTCCTTTTATACGCAGCTTAAATTCCATGTTAATATTTGCTTGGCACAGTCTAGTTGTAGTTAAACCCATCTCTTTGTCTAACTCCTAAATCCCTGAGCTAAATGTCACAGGAACAAAACATGCCAATCATGCCAACTGGTCTTAGTTTAAGTTCAGGGTAGTAACCTTCAGGGGCTACTCATGTTGTCTGCCATCATGCTGTGTGTTCCTGGTCCATTCAGTCTTCCATTTTCCTGGATGACCATTTCATACTTTCTTTTTTTGCCCCCTCAAAGCTGCTTCCCCTCTCCTTACTTTTAACTAATAATCTAGTTTTGTATTTTATTGAAAAGGTAGATGCCACTAATAGAGGACTTGGACAAGCTCTCACCACCACATGTATTCATACACCAGCATCAGTGCCCGTATACTCCCTTCCCTCCTGTACTCTGAATGAGTGCAAGGCTTCCTATCAGCCCCTCCGCACTAGACCCCTTCTTCCCCATCACCTTTTCAAAGACATGGTTCCAGTCATTATTCCTCTTTTCTATTTCATTAATTTTCTCAAAATGATCAATTTCCTATTCTTTGATGATCAAATCCCATCAGCCGGCAAATACGCTGTTATTTTTTCTGTCTTGGAAAATCCTGCTTGACCCCACATTCCCTGCAGCCAGTCACCGTTCCCTTTCCCTTCTCTCCTTTGCAGCACAGTTTCTCCACATACTTGTCATTACTCACCGTCTTCAGTTTCTCTGCTCTCATTCTCACTCGAAGTCACTGTAATTCAGCTTTTTCTTTACTCCCTTTTTCCCACTGTGCAGCAACTGTCATGTCAAGGTCACCAATGATAAAATTCTCAGCCCTCATCTCACTCTCTGATAGCAGCGTAGGACACAAGTTAATCACCTTCTTTTTGGAAATACTTTCTTCTCAGACAGTACTTTCTTCTCGTTTTCCTCCGAACTGGCTTTTTTATTTCTTCTCGACTTCACCTGCTGTTTTCTTAACCTTGGAGTATCCAAGACACACCCTTAGATCTCTTCTTTTCTCTCAGAAACTTACTAACTTACCCATTTAAATTTGCTAAGTTTAATCTAACCCCATGCTTCTTCACAGTTCACTTTCTCAGTTACTCACAACTCTGTTCTTCAGGTTATTCGTGCCAAAAGCCTTTGAGTCATCCATACTATTTCTCTGACTCACTCCCCATCCGTTTCATCAGCAAACCCTATTAGCTCTATCTTTAGAATTATGCAGAGTCTCATGCTTTTTCTCTACCTTCTCTGCTATTATACATCATTACCTGTCCCTGGGATTATTGCAGTGTCCTGTAATCAGTCTTGCTGTGTCTACCCTTGCTACTGACAGGCTATTCACAAAACATAGCCAGAGGGATCCTGTCGAAATGCAACTCAGACAATGGCATGACTTTTCTGGATGAATTCCTGTTACTCTCACGCACCTGCTTTCTGACTCATTCTTACAGTAAAAAGAGTGTTTACAATGTCCTACCAGGCCCTGCCTGATCTCTGTTACCTCCCCATGCCACCCTCTTAACTCTTCTGACTTTATCTCCTACCACCACTTCTCTTACTCTGTTCCAGGCACTCTCAACTCCTTGCCTTTCCTCAGATGTGCTAAACATGATCTTCTCCCATGGTCTTTGCACTTGCTGGTCCCTCTGCCCCGAACATTTATTCCCTCAGATAGATGCATGGCACACTTATTCATTTCTTTCAACTTTTTATTTAAATGTCACCTCTCAGTGGCACCTCCTCGATCTCCCTATTTAAAATCACAGTAGTTCCTCTCCCCCATCAACTACTCCCTGCTTTATCACTAACACACTATATATTTTACTCACTTATTTTATTTTCTGTTTCCACTGACTAGAATGTAAGCTTTATAAGGACACAAATTTTTAAAATTTTGTTTGCTGCTATTTCTAGCACTTAGAAACATGTCTATACAATATTAAGTACTTTATAAACATTTGTCATGTGACTTATTTTAGTCTTTTTGGTATCATGCATCTTCTGTTATAGACAAGAAATGGAGACATAGGGAGTTTAGTAATTTGTGGAGATAACACTTAAACCCAGGTCTGTCTTTTCTCATAATACAATCACTGCATGTGTTAATTCATCTATCAGGACACCATCACATTAATTGCATTATAAGGTGGAGGAAGTCATCAATATTTTTTTATTTTTTGTTACATGAAGTGTGAGAGAGAAGGAAGTCAATAATATTGTGCATTTAATTTGTGTTCTTACCCTCAATCAGTATCTGGGAGAAAATAGAAACAGATTTTTAACATTTAGTTCATGTTGAGGCACTTTCTGTTAGATCATGGAAACTGATTAGAGAGGCTTGTTAATCTATCTCATCAAACCAAACATGTTTTGGATTAAGAGAGTTCTGAGAACTCAACTGTTCTGTCTTATAGTAGCAAAAAGGCTGTATTTTCTTATCGAGATGAAAAATATCTGAATCCCATAAACTTGAAGGAGCACGGAATAAATAACGCTGCTTGTTTGGTTAAGGCCTTCAGGTATTGCTGGGATGTGGATTCCGCAGGAGGCAGCTGGCATTTATGTTCATTTTCTACCACTGAATTGTTCTCAGTTCAATGGAATCACAGATTTTCAAAAATTATCAAGCTGCTTGTAGTCAAATAGGGAATTGATGAGGAATAGAGGTCACAATTTCAGAAGATAGTCACAGATCATGATGAGTATGAATCATGCTTTAAGTTTTTGCAGCTGCTTTTAGAGTCGCAAACTACAGGATGTGGCTAGTCGACATTTCCTAACACCTGCCCCGTTTTTGGTGCATTTTCAAAGGGAATAATTGAGCTAAAAGTTAATTCTATGTACCAAGAAGAACTGGTACCCCTGGATTATGGAAATGAAATATGAATACCAGATCTGTCCCAAAACGTTTGGTTGTATGGCCAGACCGTGGCCATTATTTGTGTCTACCCAAATCCCTGAAGTTAGAATTTTTAAGGAAATGCTGGTATTAGCTGAGAGATGGTGAAATTTCAAGTGAGAATTGAGTTATACACTAATAAAGTTATCATGTAAGTCATGTAATATAATGTTTGAATGGAATGTCTAAGGTGTTTGTCAAGCTCCTCTAATTCGAAGAGTCTCAAACTCCAAATTCTGTCTCCTCTGTGGTGGGCACAGCTGGAATCTCTGCTCTGCTCTTTCAGTGTCCAGAGGTTATTTGCTGCCAGGCTTTTGGAGTATCCTGCAGGCATAGGTGTCACTGGAGATTCGAGCAGTTTATAAACAGATTTTGTGACGTCCCCACATGATGCCCTTCTTTTGGGGATTTAGTCCTTCGATGTTTAGCCACTGGCAGGCCCAGACTCTCTTCTTTGACCCCTTGGGCCCATAAGACTGAGCTTGTTTGTTTGAATTCTTGCTGTCCTGACACATACACTGGGAGTCCTCAGGGACATGCCTTGTAAATTCATGCTCGTCCACTCGCTCCCCTTCTTTTAAGGGTGAAGGCCCCTCCGTTTATGCTTACTTTCGGCCCTTCAGTACCTTTAAGTAGTTGTTCATTACATTTTGCCCAGAGTTTATAATCATTACGTGTGGGAAGGCTAGTCTGAAAGAAGCAACTCTGCCATTACCTTCAGAACCTCACTAAGTTGTAACGTACAGTTTTTCATTATTATTCAGTTTAAAATACTTTTTAATTTCATTACAGTTTCTTTGAGCTATGAAGTATTTAGACATATATTTTAATAGTTTTCTAGCATAAGGATTTTCTAATTATCTTTGTTACTGATTTCTAGCTTAATTCCACCATGATCAGAGAATATGCCCTGTATGATTTTAATCTTTTATAATTGGTTGAGATTGGATCTGAAGCCCAGTGTATGGGCAATTAACGTCGGTGTTTTCTGTTTACTTGAAAAGGATTTGTATTCTTAGTTGTTGGGTGCAGTGTCCTGTCTATGTCAGTTAGCTCATGTTTATTAATCATATTTAAATCGTCTATATTTTTTACCCCCCTCTTTTTTTGATGTGTGTTTTCTGTCAGTTATTAAAACTGGTTGTTAAAAATCTCCCACTATGTTGTGAATTTGTCCATTTCTCCTTTAGTTGTGTTAATTTTTCCCATTTATTTGGAGCCCATCGTTAGATGAGTTTAAATTTAGAATTGTTATGTCCTTTTTCTGACTTGAACACTTCAACAGTATCAGTTTTCCCTCTTTATCTCTGGTATACCTTTTCCCTTAAAGTCTACTGTGCTATTAATATAGTGGCATCAGCTTTCTTCTGGTTAGTTTTTCCATGGTATATTTTTTTCCTTCTTTTTACTTAGAATTTTTCTTTATAGTTTTCTTTTGAGTAATTGTTTTTTTTATCCAAGTGTGACAATCTTTCTTTTAATTGGAATGTTTAGATTACTTACAGTTAATATGAATATTGATTGCATTTAAATCAACCATCATACTATTTATTTTGTTTCCTTCACCTGTACTATATTTCTCCATCTTACCATTACTAGTTTACTGAATTTTCAAATGTATTATGTATTACGTTACTCTCATTTGCCATATTAACATTCTTTTCATTTTCTAGGAAAAGATAGAGTTTTTAACACTCCATTGTGCGAACAAGGAATTGTTGGATTTGGAATTGGAATTGCAGTTGCTGGTGCTACTGCCATTGCAGAAATTCAGTTTGCAGATTATATTTTCCCTGCTTTTGATCAGGTGAGTGCATCATATTTTACTCTAAATGAGCATTTCTAAGGTGGTTCAGTCTATGAAGTGTTGAAGTGTTGCCTCCACCCTCAATCCCCCTATCTTAGGAATGTTTTGAGCTGGTGTAGTACAGTTATCACTTTGTTATGAGAATATAGGTAAAGATCTAATAGAATGGTTTACGAAAGTGGGTGGGAAAGGAAGGGCTCATTGTGACGTGTCCCTTCTTTCTGTCTCCCGCCCAGATTGTCAATGAAGCTGCCAAGTATCGCTACCGCTCCGGGGATCTTTTTAACTGTGGGAGCCTCACTATCCGGTCCCCCTGGGGCTGCGTTGGCCACGGGGCTCTCTATCATTCTCAGAGTCCTGAAGCGTTTTTTGCACATTGCCCAGGAATCAAGGTATCCTCATTTGTGTACTTCCTTTGATCTCTGTTTGATGTTTCCATTTTGGTTGATTCTATTAGTATTAACTAATATGCTTATCTAGAGGAAAACAAACAGGACTTCTGGAATTTATGTGAATTTAACTGTATTTAAGAGAGGGAGGTTAGCATTTGTTTTAAATATACCAAGACCCAGTTTTATAGAATGTTCTTTTTGAAGCAGCACTGGTTTGATGCTGGCATTAATTAACTTCAGAGAGTAAGACTGAGAACATAGTTGGTTTCTCTTCTCTGTCTTTCAAAGCTTTATGTTTTTTATAATCAGTCTTTCTTACCTGATTCTGGGGTGATTTTAATAAGTCTACTGTTTAATCCGTATTTGCCTCAGAAGTATGGGACTTTTGCTATCAGTCCATTTCTTGTTAAATAGACCGAGAGAAAACTGTTACCTAGATGTGTTTTTCTTCTGTCTAGAATAAGGTAATGCTTACTCAAACAATTAATTTTGAAGCATCTTCCCTTTATAGCCTACTTTCCCAATAGCTTAGGTCTCTTGATAATAAAAATGCTTTCAGTATTTTATATCTTAATTTTTTATGTTATCATCTTTTCTGTTTACTGAATAAGCTTTTTAGGGAATCATAGAAATCCACAGATATGTCAATCCAGAAACGTATGTTTGTTTTTTGACCACATGGATTGGTTGTGAACGTGTGTCTATGTTTCTTATTCTTATTTTCTTATTTGATTTTTTCTATTAGATCAAAGTCATAAGGTTTTTCTTAGTTGAGTAGAAGTTGCCTGACATTTTAACATAAGCTAGAAGTGGTAGGTTGGGACAGAAGCCACATTTGAGGCAATAGTTATTTTTGTACTTGAGCCGAACATTGATTCACATTTAATGTTTATAACATTACTCAGTGTTTTTAAGAACAGAGCTTTACTCTCAATCCCCTACCTTCTCTTTCCCACCTTTTTCTCTCCTCTACTTTCTCTTACTTTTTTTTTCCAGCCCAACTGAAAATATACTTAAGGTATAAAAGGCTAAAAATAGATATATGAAGAAAGAAGATAAAGAGAAACTAAAAAGTGGGGACATAAGATGAAGACATTGTGTGATATAGTTATTATGTGTTCAGAAGTCTATTTACAGAAAATAAAATAGTGACATTTGTGCTATTTTATTTTTAAAATAACGAGCCTTCAATAAAAATGGCATAAAATGACTTTGAAAGCAAGTGTAGTTTGCCTCAAGGAATCTTATTTGAGTCTTTGTGATAAATTCATGTTTATTTTAATGATCACTCTTTCTATGTAATACTTGTCTTTATACAGTTATTCTCCAATCATTAGAAATTAGGCACAAGTTTGGTTTGAGGCAATATGGTACGGAAGTTAAGAGCTTTGGCCTTGGTATTAGTCAGAATTGGGTGGGAATCCCTGGTCTAGCAAACAACGTGACCTTAGACAACCTACTTGATCCCTCTAAGCCTAGGTCTCTATTCTAAATTGGGGAAAATAAAAGTAGCTACCTAGTGGGGTTGCTATGAATAGTAAATCAATTAATCCACACACAGTACTTGGCCAAGTTAACACATGTACCTCCTGCTGTCAATTATCATCTTCCTCATCATCACTCTCATTCTCAAAAAGGTCCTGGAGCTCTTTTCTGTCAAGCAGAAGTGTGGAGTATCTATACTTTTCTTTTTGCTCTGCCATAACTGGACATTATGGTGCCTGGATTATAAAATTCAGTGGATCACTTTTCCACTTATGAAATGAAGACTATTATTTTTTCACGAGAAAGAAGGGATTTTGGCATGTTAAAACTAGATAAGAGAGTAACATGCATTCTGAAAGTAGCAGAATGTTAGTATTATAGTATTATATCTTTCTTTATAGGTAAATCAGGTAGATATTGACAATTTTACTTTTTTGCTTTCATGAATGCTCTTTGCAGTTTCCTTTTTTGTATAGGCAAAGTTAGCTGCTTAAGAGAAGAGCAGTATCTTAGTTATCAGAACATGGTAGGCATCTGATAAATATTTAACAAAAGGAATTTTGTGGGTAATATATGAACAATAATAAATAGTATTAGGCTAAAAATAAATACCAGAGTTCTATTTTTAATTAGTGACAATTGGTTATTTAAATATCAATCCTTCTTGTAAGAGAGTTTACTGGGATATACTTTTACTAAAATTGTCTTAAAAAAATCTGTTTTTGCAGGTGGTTATACCCAGAAGCCCTTTCCAGGCCAAGGGACTTCTTTTGTCATGCATAGAGGATAAAAATCCTTGTATATTTTTTGAACCTAAAATACTTTACAGGGCAGCAGGTAAAGGTTTTATTTATTTTATATTTGTGAATATCTTTATATGCTTTTTTACAGCTCAAAAAATTGCATCTTCCATAAGCTTGATTTATATTTTCTTAGTAGAAAAAATTTTGATTGGTTTCTTCCATATTTAGTTGTCCTAAGGTGTAAATTTTATGTTTGGGAGAAGTCCATCTGGGGGTAGCAAGAACAAAGGCACTATGTTTAGCAACATAGTATGTGTTTAGTAAGTATGGGTTGAATGAAAAAGTGCATGAGCTCATTTTAGTAAATAATATCTAAGTTCTGGTTAGTTAACGTGGTCATGAAGGTTTTCATGTAAATCAGGTTGCCTTTGATCATGAAGGAGACACCGTTAACAATTATTCTGTGCTATCAGGTCTGCACTGGGATGTCTGTCTAAAGCAACCTGAGATGTTTGGTCATCTTCCTCTTAGCTCAAAATTGTGACTCTATAAACATACATGTGACTGCTTTTTTCTCAGCTATAATGGAAATTTTAAACAGCAAATGTTTTTTTCTGTCTAAGGTATCTTTTATTTTGAATTCAGAAAACATTACTTTGACAAATCATTCTTTTCCTTACAGTTAAATTTAAAAACACATATTTTTATCGTGATGTAATTTACATACAGTAAAAGGCGTAGATATTAAGCGTCCAATTTGATGGGTTTTTGACAACCCTATACATCCATGTAAGCACTGTGTAAAACAAGATAGAGAACATTTTAATCACTCCTGGGAACTCCTTCCCACCTTTTTGCTGCTATCCATTCTCCCTCCCACACACTTAGCCACTTTCTGATTGCTATCAGATAGTCGTACATGTTTTTGAGCTTCATGTAAATGGAATCACGCAGTATGTATTCTTTTATGTTTGCCTTCTTTTCCTCAACCTAATGTTTTTGAGATTCATATATGTTGTTGCTTGTATAAGTAGTTTATTCCTTTTTCATTGCTGAGAAGCAGTCTATTGTATGAATATTCATTGTTATTATTACTACTAAGTAATAATTTTTCTTGTTATTCTAAGTATACTAGTTGTTAATACTAAGGAAAGTAGCTTCCCTCTTCTCTCTTTATCAAGCTAATGTCTTGTGAATAGCATTAGTACATTGTAACTATGTTTCTGGGACCAGCCTGCCAATGAATTAAACTGGAAATGCTTCTTGGCTATGGGGAAAAGAACACCTGAAAATCTGAGGCATGTATAGTATTGTTGAATAAGTCTCATTTTGTTGTATAAATATTCATTGTATGAATATATTATAGTATATTCATGGCCTGTGCAACTGGTCTTCTGTTTTGATTTATTCATTCCCCTGTTGATGAGTTTTTCAAAGTGGTTATGTCATTTTACACTTTCGTTGGAAATTTATCAGAATTTCAATTGCTCTTAAGTTTAAAAACAGATTTTAAATTGACTCTCTAGATTTTTTTATGGAATCTATTATGCTCTGTATCCCATTATGGAATAAAAAATAATGAATGTAGGAATTTAACATCTTGAGGTGAATAGGAAGACATCAATGAGTAGCTTTTTGATGAAAATGGTTTCTAATACTTTGGATATACTATGGGTATTATATTTGTAATGTGAGCCAGTTGTAATAGCCAATCAATGCAGAGATTTTTCAGTATTTCATAAATGGAGACTGAATAAGAAACATTTGAAAATGTAATATTCACTTTGCCGCAAACTTTGAAACAGGATTGGCCAGGGAAATATTTAATGTTATAGGATTCTAGCTAATAGAATGAGCTTGAGAAATTTGTTCTAGGCTTGGCCCTGGGAAAGATTATGAAAGACCCTGATGAGGTTCAGAGTTCAAAAGGTTTCCACAAGTTTCCTCATGATGGATTATGTGCCATTTCAAGGACTCTAACTGAATCCCTTCTTGACCCCCATGGCTCAGTAGAGATCATGCAGGTGCCATTTCTTTCATATGTAGAGAGCTTCTCTGCAAAAGAAAGTAGGATAAGGAAAAAAGAGTGAGCCACTAAAGTCTTCATATTAGTGTTCTCTAGGTCATTGTCAAAGTTCATCCCTGGGCCAGCAGAGTAAACATCACCTGTTAGCTTATTAGAAATGCAAATTGTCAGACCTCATCTAACACCTACTGAATCAGAACCTCTGGGAGCAGGGCTGGGCTCTCTTTGTCTTAGGTACCCCGCAGGTGATTCTGATCCATGCTGAAGTTTGAGAAACATGGCCCAAGGTCAGGCCTGAAGTAATAACTGATGTTGCCTATCTCCATTTATCTTATTTTACTCTTAGTTCTTATATGCACAGGATGCTTTTGACCCATGGTTTTCTTAGACTTGACCTCTGGTTCAAATCAGTGTCTCACAACTGATCATATTTTGGTTTCTACTTTTTTTTTTTGGCTCAAATCTGACACTGATCTGTAATCACTGCTTAGGTTCAGCTTCCTCTTCTCCAGCCCTGTGTGTTAGTATCTCAGATTTACTTTATACTGGTGGAGTAAACTCCAAACTTACAGTTGTTTCGAAAGATTATAGTTGACCCTTGAACAACACAGGTTTTAACTGTGCAAGTCCAATTATACTTAGATTTTTTTTTCAACCAAATGCAGATTGAAAATACGGTATTTGCAGGATGCAATTTTGGTATATGAGGGAGTCCTGGAACCAATCTCCTGAGAATACTAAGAGATGATTGTACTAGATGATTATTAATAACCTAATAATGGGCTATTTTGTAATGAACATCACTTCCAATTTACTCCCAATTATTTTTAATTGGGAAGATATAAAAGGAATGGTGGATTTTTGAATCAACATTTGATTGAGGAGCCCTATGGAAGATATTTTATGTTGAAAGACAGAATCAAAGAGACAGATAAAATAAGATGCTTTAGATTCTCTTCGAAGACCAGAGCAGCCTGTAAATGTCTAAGTTGTGGTAATAGGAAGACTTGTAGTATCCATAAATAATAATAAAAATTTAATATCCATAAATAATTATAATAATAATTTAGTGGATTGATTTTTTTCCCCCCACATCCTTTCCTGAATTTCTGGCATACATTTGGGAACAGTTAAAATAGAATGGACCAACTTTTACATTTAAAGTTTTTGTTTTTTAAAAAAAAGTGTGTTCATATTAGGATTTAGATGTTTATGGAGTAATAAATATAGACGTAGGATCATTATAAGTACAAGGCTGATAGTTATTTATAAAAATAATTAGGAGTTAATTGGAAGTTATATTCATTATATGATAGCCCATTATTAGGTTATTAATAATTATCTAGTACAGTCATCCCTTGGTATTCTCAGGAGTTTGGTTCCAGAACTCCCTCATACACCAAAATCACATCCTGTGAATACTGTATTTTCAGTCTGTATTTGGTCGAAAGAAATCTAAGTATAATTGGACCTACACAGTTAAAACCTGTGTTGTTCAAGGGTCAACTATAATCTTTACTCAGTAGAACATAGTCAAGTAAGGATACAAAAAGATAACTTTTGAATAGTCTATGGCAGGAGTCCCAACGTTTCTGGCACCAGGGACTGGTTTCATAGAAGATAATTTTTCTATTGGCGGGGGGGAAGGATGGTTTTGGGATGATTCAAGCACATTATATTTATCGTGCAGTCAAACCCTCTGCTAATGAAAATCTGTATTTGCAACTGCTCCCCAGAGCTAGCATCACTGCCTCAGCTCCACCTCAGATCATCAGGCATTAGATTCTCATAAGGAACACACAACCTAGATCCCTTAGATCCCTCACATGTGCAGTTTACAGTAGGATTCACGCTCCTGTGAGAATCTAATGTCGCTACTGATCTGACAGGAAGTGGAGCTTATGTGGTGATATGAGTGTTGGGGAGCAGCTGCAAATACAGATGAAGCTTCGCTGGCTTTCTCCCCACCCACTGCTCACCTCCTGCTGTGTGGCCAGGTTCTTAATAGGCCACAGACTGGTACTGGTCCATGGCCTGGGGTTGGGGACTAGAGATCTATGGTAATGTTTATAAAATCTATGCATTTAAGCCCTTATATTTTGTTCATGGAATATTATCTTAAACACATAAATATGTTCAAGAATTATACAATTCCAAAAAGTTACATATATTAGTTAAACTAACAATAAAACTTATAATAAGACCTTAAGTAATATGGAAATGTATTTCTCTTACACGTAAATGCTTAGACTGGCAGTCCAGGGCTGGTGTGGTAGTTCCTCAGTCATCAAGGGCTCTTCTGTCTGGTTGTTCTGCTGTCTTCAACATACGGTTTTCAGTTCCTGGTCCCAGATAGTTGCTCCAGCTCCCAATATCACATCTGTATTTCAGCTACTGGGAAGGAGGAAAGGAAGAGGTATTCTTCTCTTTAAATAACTTGAAAATCGCACATATTAAATTTCACATCTTATTGGTCAGAATTAATCACATGGCCATGGCCGCACCTAGCCACAGGAGAGTCTGAGAGGGGTAGTCTTTAGCTTAAATGCCTTAACTGAAAATTATGTCCATCTTTCACCACCTCCAAGCCTACTGTGGGGAAAACATTGGCCTCTAGGAGACTAGGGTGGGAGGCTGTTTGAACAGCCTAACTGTGAAATGGTGGGAGCCTGAATTAGCAGAGGGAAATGGGTTAAAAATTTCCTAGATTGTATGAAATATGTGAATATGAAATATGAATTTAAGGAGAGGAAAGAAGAAGGAAGTGTCAAGAGTAAGTATAGAGTAAGATTTTCCATGATCTCAGGACATAGACATGTGGCTCAAGCTTCATAATTCTGACTTCTTTTCTGGGATTATTTATGTGAAAACAGAGCTTCACTTTCTATGGGTGGTTTGCCTGGGATGATGTGAAATTGAGACCCTCAATTACTTTTACTCCTTTAGTCTTTGATTAATGGGTTCCTTCTACATCCTTCCATTTAGTCTCATTTTAAGTTTAATGTACTTTGAGTTTCATTCCCCTGTAGACTTTACTACTATAATAGATAATTTTGACTAACATAATA